GTTTGGGGTTTGGGGTTCAGTTGCGATCAACAGAGTTATTGGTTGTATTGTTGTTATTATATTTGCTGTTGCAGTTACCCTTTCCTAGCATTCTTTCGTGTATGAGGGCTTCATTAACAATACCATTGCTTGTTCCATTATTGTCTGTAGCATCATTGGAACCCTAAACCCTAAACCATACACCTTAAAACCTAAACTCTACGCCCCTAGACAGACCCTAGAACCTAAAGCGAGCGCTTGATCAGCACTTTGGGAGCCTCAGTTGTTTACAAGTAAGGAGTACAATCCAGTACAATCCCTATATAAAGTATTCCCATATTCTCTACTAAGTCCGATTTCTACCCGATGATAGAGTGGAAGTTTTTTTCCTATTTCATTACCCCTACAGAGCCCCCGAATGTAACATAGAATCCATCTTGGACCAGGAAGACTAGGGTTCAGGGTTCAGGGTTCAGGGTTTAGGTTTCAGAGTTTAGGGTTTAGGATTCATGTCCAGTTTAAATGCCCTCTTTGGAGTTGCATGTTAGTGTAGCGTAGGCCCTAAACCCAAAACCCAAAACCCTGGAACTCTAAACCCTAAACCCTAAAACCAAAAACCCAAAACCCTAAACTTCCCTAAACCCCAAGCGGCTTATGGGCTTCGGGATGGCCGCTTGTTTCCTTGCCTACAAGTTTAAAGCATGGGCCCCTAATATGGGCCCTTATTCCTTCAGTAAGGTTCTAGGCCTCCTCAAGGGTTTAGGGTTCAGAGTTGAAGGATTCCAGGGCCCTTTGAGGGTACTTATAGGGAAGTGAAGATATAGTAGGTACGTAACGATCCCAGGGTTAAGGCAGGGTTAAGGGCCCTTGCTAGGGGCCCATGGTTTCAACCCTCCACTTGGCTGGGATTCATTCTCGTGCAGGTTGTAGGTCAGTAAGAAATAAGCCGATGCGTCGGCCTTAAGCCCTAAACCTTAAACCGTTGTTATAGATCCTTCCCAAGGAGTCACTTCTCTTGTTTACAAGCCAGGAAGGGTCCATCATCGAACCAGAAAACCCTAGCCCTAAATTCACGAGTATCAAGCCCCTGGAGCGAAGTCACTGCGGTCCCGTGGTAATACGTATATATATATATACATATTTATATATATATATACGCGTATACACGCACACCTGAACAGGGAAAGCGTGTCAAAGCAATCCGAAGTCACAAGGCGGAGATTTAGAGGGTTTCGTTGTTCATGTACAGTTTAACCATCAGCCAACCCTTAA